GATTTTTTTTAAATATAAAATAATTATTATATAAATAATTATACATATTACATTATCAAACTGCTAAAATCAATGAAATACCAGCACAAAGTACATCTATTTTTATTGATTTACAACAAACATTAGTATTAGATACCATTATTTTCTAGAGCCAAACTGTAACACCCCAACCCTTTTCTTTTTATTATTATTTTATTTTAATTTTTTGTAATTATTATATGAATGTAATGATTTATTATGTAATAATATATAGTTTTAATTTAATTTAATTTATTTAAATAGAAATAATAATAAAAAGGATAAAATTATTTAGAGATTTAATTGAAAATATTTTTTTTTAAAATGAGTGAAAATTTAGGTTATGGGGATATTTTTGAAAAAAAAATTAAAAACTGGGGGGTCAAAACATAATTTAAAAATATTGCGCCACGTTAGCAGCTCCGGCCAACTAGGACACGCAGCGTGGCAGAGACGCTGACGCGAGAGGCCACACAGAATGGAGCCACGTGGGCGATCTGTGTGCGCGCGATCGAACGGCTGAGATCCGTTCCCGCGCGCACAGACGACCTAGATTGAATCGCGCACGGATGGCTCAGATTGCATCGCGATGAACGGCACAGATTCATTTTCTATTTAATCGCGATTGGACGGTACAGATTGAATCGCGATGAACGGCTCAGATTAAAAGTGGATGGTTATAAATAATTTCATCTGCACCCAAACCCTAACCCTAGCTGCCAGAGCCTCTCGTTGGAGAAGACAGCTTAGCTGTCGGGGAGCCGACTGCCACCACCCGTTGCCGCACTGGAGTAATTTTCGGCTGCCAAACGAGGTAAAAATTCTCCCATTGGCTCAGAATTCGATGCTGAACCTACCTATGGCCAAATCAGAGCAAAAATACCGGCCAATTGGCCGAAAAATGCCGCCGAAGTCCAGCGGCGCCGCAGCAGGTTTTCTCGATTTTTGCCTTCAATGAAACCTTTCTCGATTCCCATTTGATGTAATATTTCCACCATTGTGACCACCGTTCCCTCCTCTACAGGTTGACTGGAGCAAAACACCAAATCGCAACTCGAGTCGGAGGAGCTGCCGCACTAAAGAGTCCCGCTGCCAGTAAGTTTCGGTTTTCGGTATTTTTTGGGCCCACCGAGGGCCATAAGGGTGTTTTCTCATAGGAACCAATGCAAGTTTGGCTGAATTCGGCCGAAAACAGCCGGAAGCAGCCAACCCGAGGCAAATCCCCGCCAGCCATCGCTAAAGCATGGCGGAGCCGCTGTGCCGGAATTTTGAAATTGGTCGAATAAGTTTTGAGTCTGATTTTTGAGTTAATCTTCACAAGAATAGGTACCGTAAGAGTGTGTCAGTACACGTTAAAAACTTTCTGGAATGCTGGGTCTGCCCGTAATTTCCACAGTATATGCAGTGAATACCCTCGAAATAAGACAAGATGCCTCAGCCTA